CATGGCAACTATTTTGTTTATAATGTATTTTTCACTTTCTTTAGATCGCGGCATGATGTGTTGCTCTTTAAGCATGCTTCACTTTGTCAGACAGGTTCTATTTAAGTGATTTCTTGATTCAACAGGTTTGGCAGTACTCAGGCCTGAATGTGGCTTGTGAAATTTAACTCCGCTTTCTAAAATAATGTGGTTAATCACAGTTCTTTCATGATTTAACAGGAAGGGGGAAATTAATTTTTAACGTAGGGCCAGATAGGTTTGGACAGCTTTTTTCCCTTAATAAATGAAATCTTCATTTAAAAACTGCATTTTGTATTTACTTGCATTATATTTGTGTAAAATTAAAATTGGTTTGATGATCTGAATCTTTTAAGTGTGACAAATATGCAAAAAGTTTAAAAAACAGGAAGGGGGCAAAAACCTTTTCACGGCACGGTATGTAGCATTCTTATTTATTTGTTTGTCTTTTTGCTTGTAATTAGTTTCTTATTCTTTATTAATAGCTAACTGTTTACTTGTCTTCAGTGAGCTTGAGGTTTTGTTTTTTTTTAATTTAGGCTAGTATTAGTTTTTTGTGATATTGACACTGGTGACGAGAATTATGGAATTTCTATGGTATCACAAATTTTGATATCATAAAGACCTTATTTAAAGCAAAAATAACTACTGTGATATATATTGTTATTGTGAAATAAAATTACTCATAGTGATATAAAATTTGGGTCATATCGCCCACGCCTAATCCCAATGATATTGTTCCTTCGTGTTTTGTGTTTTGGACTTCCCTATTCTCATAAGAATATTTACAGTTATAGTTATCTTCATAGTTATTGTCATTGCTGTGAACAGCCCTTTATTCCCATGTTTGGAATGACATATAGTTGAGTAAATGCCGTAATTTTCATTTTTGCCGCAACCTTTAAATGACTACATCTAAAGAATGCATGCACATTCACTGATTCAGATGACCACATGCAGTGAAATTACAACAAACAACTTACAGCCACAACAAACACACACAAACAAACTGAGAGAACATCTAGAGAGCATCTAGAGATCCATACTCGTCCTGTGCTGGAACAGATGGGCCACTGGAGCCAGCTGTCCCTACAGCATGTGACCCATCCTGAGGGACGTCTGTGTCTGGTGCCAGTGTGAGCTCTCCATCAATCTCATGTTCATGATTCACTAAGGGCATCGCGACGCTGTCCTGTGGGCTGATGGGATTTAAAGTGGCATGAGACTCGGGCGACTCTAATTCGTTTTCTGTGACTTTTGAGCTTACAACATCTGGTTGGACAACGCTGTGAGGGGAAGGAGGCACTGGGACTGGTTCTTCTGAAGGGACCACTGGAGGAACCTCAGCTTGTGGCTCTGGGGAATCACCCAGGTCTACCAGGAGAGTAACATTAGCCGGGTCGGGAGACGGAGTAGATGAGATGGAGGGTTTGGTGTGAGATTTGGGCGTGCTGCTGTTGGGTGGTGTCATGTGGAAGGGGTTAGGAGGGTCAGAGGGAGGTGCTGTGATGCTGGAGGTGAGAGTGGTGCTCTCGCTAACTGGGCTGCTCTGGCTAAGGTCAAAGGTGTCAGTGACTGTGTCGGAGTTAGTGGGCACAGAAAGAGGCAAGTCCAACACCGTGGCGGCAGTTTCCGTAACTTGCCTGTGAGAAGAGGGAGAGAACAGAGACACAGACGGGTGATGTCGACACAGAGGGGAGGCATTGAGGGAGAGGCACCAAATCACTGCAGGTATGTGGTTATAACACATATGCAATACTGATTTGAAATGCAGTATTGCATGTATTACAAGAGTGGTGTTACAATTAATGGTCACTAGAGGGAGTACTTGATTTAAAATAAGAAATATGGTGGGAAAAAATATGTTTATGTTATGGTGGGAGTATGTAGGAAAAACGAGCATGAGACCAAAGACAACATGAAATCAAAATGAATTGTTTAAACTCTCAATAAATGTCCTTAGACTTAGACTCTAAACAATAATAAAAAAAATAAATAAATAATTGTTTTCAACAACATATATGTCTCAAATGGTGTACGGATGGCTAATAACATAATAGCCCACTTTTTAATGATTTTTTCATGGCTTTTTGCTTTTATTTGATAGGACATTGGAGAAGCGACAGAAAAATTCATTGAAAGAGAGGGGGAACAGAACCCTATGTCAGACTCAGAATGTATCATCACATTATGGATGTTATAGCTGCTGTATGTAATATTTTATAATACTGTCATCCCATGCATAAAGATGCACTTTTAAGCTATTTTAAATAGGTACGTTTTTACATTTTTTTCCCTTATGCTTACCAAGGCTGCATTCATTTGATCAAATACACATTAAAACAGTAATACTGTGGACATAATATTACAATAAAAAAAGTCTTCCATTTTAATATATTTTAAAATGTAATTTATTTCTGTGATAGCAAAGCTGAATTTTCAGCAGCCATAACTCCAATCTTCAGTGTCGCATGATCCTTCAGAAATCATTTTAATATGCTGATTTACTGCTCAACAAACATTGTTGAAACCAAGATACTTTTTTTCAGGATTCTTTGATGAATAGAAAGTTCAACAGAACAGCATTCATTTTGAAATAGAAACCTTTTTTAACATTATGAATGTCTTTACGGTCACTGTAATGTTACTGTTTTGTACATTATTGTTTTGATCAATTTAATGCATACTTAAAGGAAACGTGTTTGAAAACTGTTTATATCTTTCACAATTCCATTTGATGTCACTAGCGGTGCAGAAATTACACACTGCAGCTTAAAATGCATTGCAAAATGTTGTTTCATGTTGTCTTTAAGTTTAAAAAAAGAAGATAGATATTGGAGGAGGATTCAAATGGTTATATTTAGGGTGTAGGAAACACTGATTTAATGGCACTGCATATGTTCTGTGGTTATGTGATTAAGTGATTGAGTACTATCACATAACATTGAGCTTACTCTGGTTCGGTCAGCGGTGTGGTCTCATTGGGCTCAGGATGGCCTTCTGCGTCGTGATTGGCTGTGGCCTCTTCCTCTGTCCTCACTTCTACAATGGGCTCTTTAGACACATCTTGACTACATGCAAAGAGAAAGCACACACATCTGCTCATTATACAGCAATGAGTAGAGTTTGATGAGGTCACTAAAGTCGTGGCATAAGAGAAGCTCTTGTTTCTTTCAGAGGTTGGAGAGCTTTAATAGAACAGCATATGACTGAAAATATTCATGCTTAACATTCATACGCTTTACAATGCAGGGCCCTTGACAGCTCTCGATGTGCGATATGAGCTTATTTGAGTTGGTTGATTATA